AAAGAATCACTTCTTGGAAGAATCAAATACATTTGTTGGTTTCAGTTTTTTGGGGTTTTTTATATGTGATTTTACTCAGAGTATATCTGAGAGAAGAGAGTGAATTATCTTTACCAATGTAGTCCTTCATTTTTTACAGAAGTACCTGTTGCAACATTATAGATTCTTGATTATTCTAAGCAATACCTCCAGGTCAATATTTCTAAAACATTATGTTGACAATTAGTTTTTTAGTAAAAAAGACTCTAAAGAATAGTAAATGCCTATAAGCTAAAATTTTATTTTTCTATGCTGTCAGTCATAAAGTAGTATAACAATAATATCTTAAAGCTATAACTGTGATAGTGAAGGACCCCCGAACCGCTGGTCCTGTTCTGTCCCGAGTGGACTGCGAAGACCCAAGACTCCAAGACACCGGCTTGATGCAACAGCAAGAGATAAGAGGTTTATTGCAGAGCTCCGGGCTGACTCTTATCTCTGGCAAGAGATAAAGGAGCCACCCAGAGCAGACAAAGTTGGGTTTTTTTATACACTTTAGGGGGATACAACTGAGTATCAGCTTCTCATTGGGTGATGAAAGCACAGTTTGAATTCATTGGTTCAGTGTTCGCTCAGGGTTTACACAGCATTTTTGCACGTAGCACTTGCGGCAGTCACGTAGCACATGTAGCAGTTAGATAGATCTTTAACTATATGGTGGTGTCACAAATTCTTAAGTATACAATGAGTTCAAACTCTAGGGCAGTGGAAAAGCACAAGATACATTGGTTATCAGTCGGGAAACAAAGGCACATGGGTTATCAGTTGAGAAACAATCTTTGCTTGTTAGCTCTGCCCTTCTGCTAGCTATTCTTGAAATACTGTTGCCCTGGATACCTGGGTGTGGGGCTTTAAAAATTCCTGAGTTTAACTTAGCTGAGAACTATAGAAACTTGAGTTTAATTCAGCTGAGAACTATAGGGACTATTTTAATTTCAATCTTTTCAATAGTATTTCCTTCTGTCCTAGAATTCAAGAAAATTTGTTTTTTTGAGTGTTATTTGAAGGATTATACTCATTATTTATTCTTTTGACAATCCAGTTCCCCTTTCCTAGTTTTTCCAACTTTGCTTTCTGTTCCAGTATCTACTCTTTTTTAAGAAACAAAATTTTATTTTAATTGTGATTTAACAAATGTTTATGGAGAAGTTATATTTTCATTCACTCAGTGTTGCACATTTTACCCCTTCACTTTTCCTTCTTCCTCCCCAGTTCACTTAAAAAAAATTCATTGTTGCACAATTCCCTACCTCTTCCTCTGAGCCCACTTTGTAATTATAAATCTCTTATATCCTTATTTCAGCTCCAATTCCATTCTTTCACCTAATTTCCTCTCAAGTCTATCGTAATTTCTCCTTCCTCAGACCATGTGTGTCATCTTCTGATATAGCTTAGGCTACTTTCTATTGTCATGTAGTTTTGTTGGTACAATGCTTCATCTCTTGGCTTCTAAGTGAAAGGTTGCCAGTTCAAATCCACATAGTGACTCAATTTGAGAAAGACTTTGTGATTAGCTTCTGCCAAAATTATAGCCTTGCTATCTTTAGTACAATTCTGATATGTTATATGGGCGTCACTATAAGCAAAAAAATCAATTTGCTGGCACCCAAAAACTCATAATAATTTCTTGTTATTGAGTCAGAACGGACTCACAGCTCACTTTGCAGTGGGTCCTGAGACTGTAAATCACACTGGAGGAAACTACTCTTCTTTGTTCAATTTAGGTTGTTGTT